GACCAACGAGGAAGTCTATATCTTTGGCAAAAACCATCCGATTCGTAAGGGGAATACCTCAAACGATTTGTAGTCCGATTCTCCATCAATCTGCATCAAAATCTGAGAAAGAAATATGTTTTAGATTTTTTTGTCAAATTTTCTGAGGGGTCCCCTCGAAAAGTTGAGAAATGCACGGGGGAGCCACTATGACCAACGAGGAAGTCTATATCTTTGGCAAAAATCATCGGATTCTTAAGCGGAACACCTCAAACGATTTGTCGTTCGATGCCCCATCAATCTGCATCAAAATCTGAGAAAGAAATATTTTTTCGATTTTTAGTCAAATTTTCTGAGGTCCCCTTCGAAAAGTTGCGAAATGCATGGGGGAGCCACTATGACCCACCAGGAAGTCTATATCTTTGGCAAAAATCATCCGATTTTTAAGCGGAATACCTCAAACGATTTGTAGTTCGATTGTCCATCGATCTGCATCAAAATCTGAGAAAGAAATATGTTTTAGATTTTTTTGTCAAATTTTCTGAGGGGTCCCCTTCGAAAAGTTGAGAAATGCACGGGGGAGCCACTATGACCAACGAGGAAGTCTATATCTTTGGCAAAAATCATCGGATTCTTAAGCGGAACACCTCAAACGATTTGTCGTTCGATGCCCCATCAATCTGCATCAAAATCTGAGAAAGAAATATTTTTTCGATTTTTAGTCAAATTTTCTGAGGTCCCCTTCGAAAAGTTGCGAAATGCATGGGGGAGCCACTATGACCCACCAGGAAGTCTATATCTTTGGCAAAAATCATCCGATTTTTAAGCGGAATACCTCAAACGATTTGTAGTTCGATTGTCCATCGATCTGCATCAAAATCTGAGAAAGAAATATTTTTTAGATTTTTAGTCAAATTTTCTGAGGTCCCCTTCGAAAAGTTGAGAAATGCATGGGGGAGCCACTATGACCAACGAGGAAGTCCATATCTTTGGCAAAAATCATCGGATTCCTAAGCGGAATACCTCAAACGATTTTTAGTTCGATTCTCCATCGATCTGCATCAAAATCTGAGAAAGAAATATTTTTTAGATTTTTAGTCAAATTTTCTGAAGGGTCCCCTTCAAAAAGTTGAGAAATGCATGGGGGAGCCACTATGACCCACCAGGAAGTCTATAGCTTTTCCAAAAATCATCGGATTCTTAAGCGGAATACCTCCATCGATTTGTGGCTCAATTTTCTAACAATCTTCATCGATATTTTTTGAGATTATAAATCTATAAATGTTATAAATCTGATTTGTAACAGATTTTTTGGGAAAAATGTTTCCTAGATGTTTTCTTCAATAATTATAAATAACTAAACAATTTGTTGGTTGATTTATCTTAATGATGAATGCAAGTGTGGGTTTTAAAAATATATTTTAACTTTCCTATTAATTCAACCCAATTTATAATTTTTTACAACTACTTTCTTTCCTGCCGCTTTAAAGTTGGAGATTTCCTGAAAGAAAGTAAAGACAACAATCTGTCGGCGATAGGGACACACACGTGTAATGGAGACAGGTGTAAAGAGTGCTGTTGGCATAATTGCAAAAAAATGAACAAATAAAAGGAGCCTCCGTTAGTGACAGTAAGAGAAACGTTGGAAAATCATACAGGAAAAAACAAGGCAAGGAGTGAAAATGATTTTTGCAAAAAATCTCACGTACGAATCAATTTTTAAAACGCCTCTCCCTGCAATTGTTCTTTTATGCAACAGGGCGATGGTGACGGGAAACGGAAGTCGTTGAGTTCGCGGTGAGGTGAGGGCGGTAATGGTGTTGGCTCGTGTGGGCCAAAAGATCATTACAAGTCATAGAAGTACCTCGCTCTTGGTTTGATTGTTGTGTGAAACTTGGCTCTGAATACGAAATGAGGTCTGGCCGAAGAATCAAAAAGGACCAAGAACAAAAGGTTTAATTTTCCAAAACAGAAACCCTAAAGAGAAAATTGAGTTTCAGAATTCTCAGAGTATATGGAAATTCAGTTACCCCCACCCCTTTACAGAAAGTGGTCAGTGGAAAACCCGAAAAACTTTCCACATCGCACCTTGGCCCCATGCCCAGAAAATTTTAAAGCGTATCCAACAAGATTTTCACTGCACCAGATACGATTTTCTATTTAATTCTTCTTTCACTTTTCTGCTTCTGGCCCCCAATTCCCCAGCCTTTTCCTGCCCCCTTTTTTCAATGCTCTGTTGAGTTAATTAAGCTGAGGTCAGTTTTCAGGGCAATCCAGAAAATCCAATGCGGAAATGAAGAATACCATTCGAATGAATGGAAAACCCCTGGAAATAGGGGATCTTGACATCATCTTCCCAGTTTTCTCACTGCTGTCAGAGGTTGATTATAATCTGCACTGATTTTAGACATTTCCCTCAACTCCCAGCTGGATCTGCATCGTCGCACTTATGCAATTATAACTGTAGGCAGGCCCCAAAACAATGCCACACAATTGCAATTTGTTCAGAGAGTTGGCAAGAGATGTGGGGATGAGATCTCTGATTTTTTTTTACTTTTTGGAGTATCTGCGGTGACGACATCACTTCAAGTTGCCCAAACAAAGTGTTTAAAGATTTGGTAACCTCTCGAATTGAATATCACTACCCGCCGACGAAGGCGTTGACTGGAAACAGACACCTACTATGCATCGCATAAACAAAAATTACAACCAGGTGTCTGCCTAATAGAATTCATAAATAGAATAAATGGAATACAAATGAATCCTCGAGTCAGCAGGGAGAAAAATACACTCTTGTTTACATTTCCGTATTTTTTTCTCGAACAACTGCAATTTATTACCAATTTTATGAAGTAAAGTTTTATTTGTTGTTACAAGACAAGTCTTATTTTGCAAAATTTATAGCTCTAGTTAAATTCATAAAGAGTTGTAATACATAAAGCTTTCTGAAAGAAACAACTCAGTCATGCCTGAAATTTTGAAATTATTTTAAATGGATCTCATAAAATCCGTGACTAAGCCATCCATTTCTCTCACTATCTTTCCGAACAATTTATCCACCTCCCCCCCTAATAGACTTGCATCAGAAAATTGTTGCCCCCATTTCAGGGCTAAACGGTTTGTTTTTTCAAAAGACAGGTCTACTTTTGGGTCTACTTTGAGGCGCATTTGCATTAATTATGATAATTGCAACGTTTATGCTTCAATTCGTGGTGTGTGGGTCTTTTTGTCTTCAATAATAATTCGTTTCATCGTTTCTGGGTCAACGTCACATTTGGGTTAAAAATTGATTTTCGTTTATGGTCTTAGTCTTCAGTTTCTTCGACTAAGACCCGGCTTTATGCTTTTTATGTTGTGTCGGGTCTTGAGGTGGGCGGGTCTCAAAGGTGCCAGCAAAAATTGTTTAATCGATAAACAGGTGGAATGTATGGGGTCTTCTTTCAAAGAGTATTTTTGCCTACAGAAAAATAATGTCTATAAGAGAAAATTATATTTAATATTTCTTCCAAAAATAATGAGTATTTAATCGTTTAAGTTTATAATTTTTTTTTTAACTCTGGGAATTCTAGTTATTCTTTTTCACCAACCACCTTTGTCTCTTCCACTTGACTTCTATCTTACATCCTCCAACATCCAAAAACTCTGCGTTCTAAGTTAGACTAATGTTGACTTTACATTCACCTCATTTCCATATCCATTATCTTAGTTATTTTAAGCCCATGGCAAATCTAATAATAATTCGTTCTTTGTTTTTTCCTCTACTTCCAGGTAAGCACAACAAAAAATGTACCTCTTAAGGCACCACTATCTTACCAATCCTACTTGGTAAGTGCTAAAACGAACCCACAAAAGTGTTTCTTGTCGGCCTTTATCTGAGCTGAAAAATCGCCAAAAGAATTGGCCATAATGTGAATTTATGTTCCCACACAGGCGCCTCTTTTCGAGGGCGTGGCAGTGGGAGCAGTGTTACCAAGCCAGAAAGTCAACGCCTTCGCCTTTTTTCCATTACTTACGTCATGTACAATGTACATTATTTTATTATTTTTGCACAAGGTTGTCCAAGGCAAACGGGGCGTTACATTAATGGTTAACTAGTCAAAACGAATCGTATCGAGATTGGGTTTTTGGCCGGGGTCCAGCTGAGGTTGCACTTGTTCGAGCCAACTATGGGTTGTTTTCTTGTCTTCGCCAACCATTTAATACAAGTAATGAGACATTGGAGAGTTAACAATTACGGCCTACATGGGAATTACTCAAGCCTTATTGGTTTTAGAAATTGTCTTGAACTTTTAAATATAAAAGTCTTAAGATGGTCTATAAAGGTCTATCAGAAGTTGTAAAATTACTCCCTGTTTCTGTTTACAACTTTCTTGGTTACTAGCCAATCTTATCGTCCACCAAAAGCAATCGTTGCCTTGGCAACTAACTAAACAATGAATATTTTGGTGTACACAGTATAAGCCAAACACAAACAAATTTTTTAGAAGGGGTTTCGAGGAGTGCTATATGTCTAAATTAAATACAAACAACGCCATGAATTCCAATTGCAATTGCGACTTTTTGGGATCTTAAATAATTCTCACAGATCCGGTGTATTAGGTTTATTTTATAAAAATCTTAAACAAATGTTTGCAGAATTATGCAAACTCATCGGTAGTATATAAGTATGTGTATATGTAGAAGCCTTAAAACTGCAAATATAAAAAGCAAACAGTGTTGGCTATACACGTTTACCAATCTTTCAGTGTTGGTTAGACGGTGGAAGAAATTAATAGAGCAAATATTGAAATTTTTGGAAAGAAAACCATAAAGATAGGAAAATACATATATACATTTATATGTTTAGGAAAAAGGGTATTATTGAGATAATAAGTATTTTCCCTAACAGTGTTGTAAAAGAAACAAGTAGGCTTTTTTCAGATTTAAAGAAAAACAAGTAAACTCTAAAATTTCTTCGCAAATTAAAATCAAAGTAGCCTTTTCTCCAAATTCTATATAAATACCGGACCAGAGCCGACAAAATTTTCATTCTGATTTCAACCGTTGGACCAAAAGGATCCCAAATAATATTTAAATTTAATAAAAAAAACAGTGTTTATTTGAATTATTTTTCGGTAAATATTAAAAATTCGTGCTAGTTTATTTTTCGTTTAATAATAATAATTCCTAAAAATAGGTCTGGATCTCGCACGAAAATTTACGGCATTTGCGAAGATGTCATTGCCACGTGTTTATTTCGATATTACCGCTGGCGAGGAAAAGCTGGGCAGGATTGTTATGGAGCTGCGCTCGGATGTGGTGCCAAAGACCGCGGAAAACTTCCGTGCTTTGTGCACCGGTGAGAAGGGATACGGCTACAAGGGATGCCCCTTCCATCGGGTTATCCCGAACTTTATGTGCCAGGGTGGCGACTTTACCAACCAGAACGGCACTGGCGGACGTTCGATCTACGGGAACAAGTTCCCGGACGAGAATTTTGAGTTGAAACACAATGGTCCCGGCGTTCTTTCAATGGCGAATGCCGGAGCCAACACCAATGGATCGCAGTTCTTCATCTGCACCGGGAAGACCACCTGGCTGGACAATAAGCACGTTGTGTTTGGCAAGGTGGTCGAGGGGATGGAAATCGTTCAGAAGGTGGAGTCCTATGGCTCCACCAATGGAAAGACAAGCAAGAAGATAATTATTGACGACTGTGGCGCCCTCTAAATGGAGAAAGCCCGTCGGGTTGTTGCAAAAAACGTTACACATGTTTCAAGATTTAAGATACTATTTGATATTGATTTATTGGAGGCACAATCAATATTTCAATTAATATTTCACTCATGCTTCGTATACTCCCTACATACTATATACTTAACACTTATATACTTATATACTATGCTTAGACGTATACACAGAAAGGCTCTCTTCCTTACGTACATATAATCACATTGGCTGCCAAATCACATATTTTGCTGTACAACAATGTTACTGCCCTGTTACATTCGCTATAAGCGTCATGTTCTTGTTCTATAAGCATTTAATTAATTTCACACATGTTATTGAGAGAGAAATATATATATGTATGTAAGTTCCGCATTATAAAAAGCACATGGATTGAGTTTTATTTTGAATTTTTTCAAAAATTGTTATTATTATACAGGGCGTATACTTGATATTGCGTATACGTCAGTGGTTCCTATCTTGTTATGGAGTTACTCAGTTATTTTTTGGAGGAAACCTTTGAATCATTTCAAGTACTCTGTGTTGGAAAGCTCCTTGACTCATTTTCCTTTTGATTTTCTTTCCCCCTTACATTTAATTGAACCAATTTATTTCGAGAGTCGTATTTGATTCTCTTGAAAGTACACTTGAAAAAATTATCTAAAATTTATTTTATTATGAAGAAATAAAAAAAGGAGGGCATTATTTCTTTAAGTGCATGTCATTTCCCTTTGGCAATACCATTTTCCAACACTGCTAAGTCGCATTAGTCGCATTTTTTGTTTAGTTTCTTGAGCTCTCCTTAGTGTTATTTTTTTTTGGCACCCAAAACAAGTTGCGGCCCCATCGCCGCCAACTGAGGCAGCGCCGCCGACAGCGACTGGGACTGTGGCAGCGACGACGGCAGCACCTTGGCTCTTCGTCGAAAATCGACGCTCAAATTGCATTTAACTCTTGCCGCGTGCACAACACGAACCGCCATACGGAGCAGCGAAGCGGACGGCGTCGCTTTGCGCTCTGCCGCTCTCTCTCTCTCTCGCAGTGTCTCTCTCGCGTGCGGCCCTCCACCCCAAAACACCCACTCGTGTGGGTGGCTCGCGTGTGTTTTTTTTTTTTGGCCAAAATTGCAAATGCAGCTGCAGCTGCTGCAGCACCGGCTCTCCTGCAAGCCCAGAGCCAAATTGCCGAAAAGGTTTTAAATTTAAATAAAAAAAAAAATTAAATAATAAATTACCTTAACCCGGGGGCCAACTAAATAGTTTTGTGTGTTAGTGTGTTTAGTTTTTTGTTGGATTTTTATCGATCGCCTTCGTTTATCAGCCTGTGTCAGGTGCCTTTGGCTCATTAAACGATTACTCAGTTTGAAAAAAGAAAAAAAATAAGAAACACAATCAAAAAAGCCTTTAATTACGCCGTCTGTTGTGAAGAAAACTGAATCGAAATGGTATTCCGAAGTGAACCCCCTTCCTACCCATGGCCCTCTACAAAATTTCCATCCATCCCTCGGGCAATTGAAGCGAATATTGATATATATTGGTTGATTGATCTTAAATTGAAAAGTGCGGTTGAATCAGTCAGGCCAAGTGTTTTATGGCTATAAGAAAAATATATATACATAAGATATATGTACATATATATAAAATATCAAGTGAAAACCAAGTGTGGCATAAAATTGATAAATGATGAAACTTGTGATATAAACTGAATCATATTTGAAAAATAAATAAAAAAAGCAAGATAATTATGAAAGAAAATGATTAATATGATAAACAAAAAATAAAACGAATAATAAAGTTAGAAAGCTAATAAAATAAATGATTAATATGATATAGAAAAATAAAACAGATAATAAAGCCTGGAAATTTATAAACTAAATTGAGTTGAATTAAACATCTTAGTTTATAAAGCCAGATCTTAGGAAAACTTTAATAAAAACGTATACTTGATATTGGTTTATAAAACCATAAAAATTAAACCTAACTTTGTGTTAAAATTTTTACAAAAAATACCAAAAAATATCTTAACGATAACTTTGTATGGCAGACCGATAAGATCATTACCCAAAAGATAAAAATTTATTTTAGTCTTTATCTCGCATAGCTTACTAGCCCAATTTCCAGATAAGAAAATAAATATCAAAAATATCTAATAAAAAACAACATAAATTTATTAAGAAGCAAAGTTCAACTGGGAAAGCACTTTAAGAATTTTCAAGTTCATTTAAAAATAGTATCTTTTCCCGGGTCTCCATCTATCTCTCTCACACAAATCTGTATCTTCTAGTAGGCACTTTTCATACCACCGTTAGTCTGACTAAGAAAACGTTCCTTCATTAGCGATGGCCCGTCAATTAGTAGGCATATAAAGCTAACGGCACCCGCTCGGGGCAGAAGCTAGAAGACCATAGACCAGAGAGGAAGAAGACACCGAACCGGAACTAAAAAAAATACATAAAAACCAATAAAACAAAAAAAAGGGCCTAAAGTAGCCAGGAAATGGAAAATCCGCTGATGACATCAACAGAAATGGGAGGGAACTGCCCATCATCCCGCATGCGTCCCGTTAATTTGGGGTCTCGGTTCGTGTCCACGCTTATTCACTTGCGCTTTTGTTTTGGGGGGTATGGTTGGCTGGGGGGACTTCCATATAAAAATTCTTTATAATTATGCCCCGCTGCTAGCTCTCGTTGAGTCAAAGACCATATGTTCAAAAGTGTATTAAGAAGAGAATTGAGAGACTCACCCCTCGGACATGTGGCGACTTTTCCTTGTGGGATCAGTATGGGCCTGCATGTTATTGCCTTTGTTTGTTGATTATTATATTTTCCTATTTATAAAGATTATGCCTCCCAGTTTTGCTCTCAGAAAGCCTCTACAATTCTCTCTTTCTCGGAATGCCTCCTCCTCGGGTTTGTGGTGCCCCTGAATATCTGGGCTCACTTAGTTTGTTTTTCGCGGTTCGCGTGTTTCAATCGAATTTCGTTTGCCTCTCAATCGTATGTGGTGATTTTGTAAAATAAAATTTATAAAAATAAGGAAATTTTAGATTTTGGTTAGATATTTTCCTTAAAAAAATCTGTGGTTTCTTAGCAGACTTTTATTACCTCCAGTTTCAATCTATAAACATTCCAAGTCTCTTTAAAAATTCTTCTTAAATCCCTCCAATTACTTTTAGTTTGCCTAGTCATTGTATATTTTTCTTAAGTTTTTTCTTTCCATGGTTTTTGTTTACTTTGTTGCATGAAAAATGCAGAGCAGCAGCAGCATAGCTGGAGATTGAAATTTGCATTTAATGAGCTCCCTGCCACAATCTTCTTTATTTCGCCCATCGGCTGCAGGCCATTGTATGCAAATGTTTGTGGAATTCAATTTTGTTCAAGAGTAGCTAATGATAATTTTCCTTTATTGCCGGGCATATGTGAGTTTGCAAGATATGGAAATCTTCATTGGCAGAGCTGACAAAAAAGGAAAGTTTACTTCATTATAATTTAAATTATAATTGATGTGGTTCACTTAAGAAACCCCCATGAATAAACATTACTTGATGTGACCTTCTATACCATAATTGAAATATACTTTTTATAGAAAGAGTATAAAATTTCTTATCAGTCACGCCCTGCTTTGAATGAGCCCTCATATTGACCTTTTTCTGAGCTTAGACTCGACAAGGGCACTTTACCTATAAAAGTTGCTCTGTTTTTTTGATAAGCAAGTCTATGATTCAGTTTTTAAGACTAGAAAAAAAGCTATTAGATTTCTGGTAATTAGAAGCTTAGAGGATGGTCAAGAGATAGCTTATAAAAGAGAATATGTCTAGTTTCTTGGCCTATTGTCTAAACTACTATCTACCTTGAAGTCTAAACAAAATTATTTAACGCTCTGTTGGCTGCAAGAATAACAGACTGAGCTAGAAAGGGGGTTGGCTTATATAACGTGTAGAGAACTTACAGTGATTACCATAATATTTTTACTTCTGGCCGGCTAAATATGTTCTCTTTTTTTCCCCATTTTTTGAATTTAATTGGAAAAGCATGAAGGGAAACATTATTCGACCAGAGTGTGACAGCCAACAGCTGTTACCTGTCTTGGCCTTTTTCTGTGTCTTGCTTTGGGCCAACCCTATGGTTTCCCCTTCGGGCTGTGAAATGAGGTTAGCATGTTGTTTCAGTTTCACCTTTTAGTTCTTTGTCTTTGGCGTGGGCGGTCCTCTAAAAGACTAAAAGGTTTACAACAAAAAAAGAAATAATTGCGAATGCAAACTGCAACACCGGGCCAAGGAATCGAGGTTAGACGCGGCAATTGACACGAATTGGTAGCTGAGTTCAACCAGATTAGAGAGATATCATCTTGAACCTTGCCTAGTGGCAACTTAGCTCACGTAATAGTCACCTAAATAGTTGAGGTATTTAGACATAAAACTTAATAGTTCCCCCCATCTAAAGCGTATCATAAATTCCCAAGATATTTCATCTGCAACCCCAAACATTCTTTCGGATCGGATTGCGTTGAAAGATGCATCGTTAAACGTGCCTGGCACTGCATTAAGTTCCAAAAATATTGCAGTTGAAAATAGAAAATGTTGTTATTTTACTTACTTTCAATTTTCATTATTCCATTTTTTGTTTTTGTTTTTTTTTTTTTAAGAAACGAAACAAGTTTGTTTGTAAGGTTGTTTACTAGCCTTTTAGGTGAAAGTTGTTGTTATTTATGATAATGATGATGATGGTGTTGATGTTGTGTTGGCCATGCTTCATTGACAAAATTGTTCATAGATCAATGAGTCTTATGTTTGAGCTACTGTTTGTGGTTTCTTTCGTTTTTTGAAAAATACATTTTGAGAAATCTTCAAAAGACTCTGTTTAAGGCCTTTCTTCTGCGCAAAAAACTGCTCTCATTTCTCAGCTGGGAAAACAAATAAATTCAAATTTATTGTGACAGGCCACTTAAACCCATTTGACATGGGCAATTGTGACTGGCAGTGTATTCTTCTCTCCCAGTCTCAGTCTTCTTAATTCTTCTGTTTTTGCGCTTGTGAATCACGCAATTTATTAGAAACAATTTACTCAAAGATGAAAAATTCAAATTCATGACACATTTTCCTCAGCGAAGAATTGAATCATCGTCTAAGAAGCAAGAAAGAGAGGTAGAGCTCTCGCCAAACTGAAGACGATCCCCGGCTAGATTATGCAATTCTTTTCGGTTACGGCAGAAGAATTGCATGGCCCAACAGTTTTTCCCTCTTCTTTTTATCTACACGAAGTTCATCAATTCAACTAGGAAATTAAACTCCGCCAGAAGCCCAGAAGAAACCAAACTCAGTCGTGTAGAAAGAACGAGTCTGAGAAATGGGAATGGGACTGGAAAAGGAGTAGACTGCAGAGGGCTTGTGGATTGTCTTGGTCGGTTCTTTTGTTTATCTTTTTTTTTTTTTGCAAAAAGCGCACATTTCCTGCATGAAATACAGAAAGAAAATTCTTGATGGCTTTTGTTTCCAGTCGATTTCTTGCTCTGCAATCTGCTTTCCTATCATATTTATTTTTCTCATAAACCAATCCGAATCTGAATCCAAACAATTACCATTCAATTTGTTAGGAATTGTGCTAGAGGCAGAAATCATTTGCTAAGCTGCTATTTCATTGCTTTTCTACATAATTCAGTTGGAAGATGCTTGGGGAAATGAAAATTCTTTTGTTTAACAGTTGAACATTGCCAGCAGTTGAAAGAACTCAAAAAAAGAGCTTGAACTCAAGAGGAGGTATTAGAAGCTAGAGAACAAGTCTGGTAGGAGAAAGAATTATAATAAAAATATTAATAAAGTGTATCTCTAATATAGCCACAAATAAAACTAAAAATGTCTAGAAAAGTGCCTTAAACAAGAGTGTGAGACGAAAGTGAATTAAACGAAATATATCTGAATAATGTGCCTACAACAAACCCAAGACAAAGCCGTCTTCCCCACTCACAAATAATTATACATTAAAGTGCGAAAAAGCCACACAAAACAACACCCAACTAGTGCCACCATCCCGAAAAAACCAACCAACAAATCACAAAATTTGAGAAAAAAGTAAATCATGAGTAGTCAACCTGCCAGCCAGCCCGATAGCATCGACTTAGCCTATGATATGTGGGCGGGCCAATTCGAGTTTGTCGGACCCACCAATCAACAGAGTAACAAAAATACCAACAACAACAACAATAGCCACAACAACAATCTGAACAACAAGTGTCGAATCGGAGGACAACAGAACAGGAAGCTATCAACGGATAGCCTGGAGGACTTGAATTTGAACTTCAATACGAGTTCCTCACAAAATCCGCTGAGTAACGCCTACAGTTTGGGAGTCACTGGCGGTGGAGAGTACTGTGGGTTTGGCAAGCACCATCCGCCCATCCTGATCGACCAGGAGACCTTCCTCAGCCTGAATCCGGCGGACTTTGAGGATATTGTGCCATCCAATTCGGAGCCCAATTCGCTCGTCTTCATCGAAAATAAACTAGAGACCAACAACAATAGCTTTGTGGAGTCCAACAACAATAATAATATCCACAACAATAATAACAACAAGATCTATAATTTGGAAAATTTGACAAGTAAATTCAACAATAAAACCAACAATACAAATACAAACGGCTTCAAGCTAGAGAATCTGAAGAATTTCAAAAATAAGCTACTCTGTGATTTCGAGGATACCAACGGCACCGGAAACGGAAGTGGCAGTGCTGCCACCACCGGCGGAGGATCAGGACCTGGGGGCATCATGAACGGAGCCCTCAGTGCCGAAATGTGCGACAATCTGAACGAGCAAGTAAGCAATGGGGGTATATGACCCATTTCCGACATTAATTTCATGCAAAGTTCAGGGTTCATGTGGGCGGTGACATTTTCCATGTTAGATGGCATGTCAGTGCATCTAGTATTCGGCATGTCAATAATGTCCAGTCCATTCTAGTCCATAAATAAGCTGCAGTTGAGTACAATTAGCTTTAGTCCAACATTGAGTTGCCATTAGTTAGTGCCATTTGACATTAAAATCAATTTTTTTGGCTTGAAAGTGAAAAAAAATGCTGGAAACAAGTGAAGTGAGTTGGGGGGTGATGTATAAAAATATCCAGAAAAAGTGAAAACCCCTAATAAAGATGGATAGTCTGTTTACAAGTTCCTTGACATATTTACCTTTTTTTCAACGTCCACACAGAGCCAAAAATAAATTTTCAAAGTCGAAAGAAATTTGCCAGACATCTGGTAATAATAAACAAAAATACATTTTGTAGTTTTGCGTCAAATGAGATCACCAGCCACAAATCATATGTCCGCAGAGAAAGAAAACCCGAAGCAGACATTTTGAGAAATTGTCTTGACGATGCCCCGAAAATTAATGATAGAAAAACTGTAACAAAATAGATGATTAGCTTCGAAGGGAAAATGTGTCAACGAAAGTAACCAGAAGGCAGCTCATATGGATGGAAAAAGGCGATTACTCCAGTTTCAGGGCACTGAGAAGAGAAAAGAATCTTTCACATGTGCCACTGATGCGATTCCCAGCATTTAATGCAACCAATTATCAAGTATTCCCACTCCCTCTGCCTCCAAAGGTCATTTCTGCCTCCCAGCGGATGCCAGATTTGTTTACTATTCTCGATTCCCATAAAGTAATGGAGCAACTCATTTGATAAATGTAACAAATGTGGGGCTTTGTATCTCAGAAGGAGGAAATCCGCATAAGGGTGTGTGGCAAGTAGTCTTGTATTTTTGGGGTCAAAGCTAATGGTGATTAGAAGGTCTTAAGATTCAAAGATTTGTTACAATTGTTTACTATAATTTCGGTTATTTACGAGCTGTTAATGAGTTAACTCATTCAGCAAAGGGTACTTAAGAACGAGATTGAGAAATACTGTATAAAAATAGCTTTTATTGCATACTTTTTGGCGGAAAAAAAGGCGTTTTCCAAAATATCAAAGTATTTTACTTGAAAGCTACCTCACTTTAGGATATTATTTATTATTTTAATTTTAATAATTTCACTTGATCTGCAACCTTCAATGAGTGCCACACATCTGTTGCGTATTTCCGCACTTGCCATCAAAAAATTCCCATAACTCACTAGCACCTGTCGGCCCATCAACTTGTCAAAAACGAAACTGGAAAAATCAAAGGGCCAACAGAGGCCTGCCGGGTATTAATGACCCTACAACAATTTTTTTTTTTTAGGTGTGAGGGAAAAGTGACAAGCACAAGTAAATCGCATTTAAAGAAACCGTTTCCACATTCCCCTCCTCTATATTTCTTGAGCGTCTTCTATAAACAACTCCCCTCGTCACTTGTTACTCAATTTGTCTTACATTTTTATTGTTTTCTCTTTATGCCCTCGGCGGCATTTTATTTTTATTGCTTTTTGGCCTTTTGCCTTTTGTTAGTGTGGCTTTTACGTTCTGGCCAACGGTCTCTGAGTGAACCAAGAATTGTCATTTCGCTCATATTTTTTTTCGGCTTCTTGCTATTTTTTTTTCTCAAGAATTCTCTGGGCATTTAATTTAAATTCTAGTTTCAGTTTAATATTTTTTGGCATGGTTCATTGTACACGTACAGAGTTCCTAATTGAGACCCCAGTTGTAGACTCTTCTCTGTAGTTCTTTCTCATTCTCCTGGCGGTTCTCCATTTCTATTTCAGCTTTTTTATTTTTTTGGGGGCCCTAGGCCTTTTATTTTTGTCAGTATTCTTCGGGCCGCGATTGACGTCGATTGTGTATCTAGTATATAGTGCTCTCTTTGTGTAAATCTGGCGAAAAATGTCAACTGCAAACTGTGGCCAGAGCAAATTGCATTTAATTAAGCCTAATTGAACCCTATGCCGCACAGTTGGACAGCCACTGGGCAGCGACCTCAAAATAAATGTCGTTTGCTGGCTGCCACTAATTGAACTTCTCAATTGACTTTCGGAGGGTGGCATGGAATTAGATTAACCAGCTGGCAGGGGGTAGATGGGTTAATCATATACATATTATTATTATTTTTATTTCTCAGTGTAAGCTGAGACCCCCTTTATTTCACTTATCAAACAGCTCAGACATCCTGTATTTCACTTGCAGTTTTCTTATCGCTGCCAGCAGGCTCTGAACTCATGTTCGGATCTTCTGTTTATATTATTTTCTCTGTGATGTGTATGGATTGAGTGGGAGGGTCATGAGTAATCATCAGCCAGCCAATCTGTAATGGGGAAAACAGATTTTTTGCACATGCCAGCAACTAGCTAACCGAAACTTGAATGCAAATGTAAAAATAGTGTGTGTGCGTGCTTTTACGCCTTCGAGTGAAGTGGTTGCCTATGGGGCGTATGCTTAATATTTATGCGATTCATATGGGCAAGGCATGCCATCAACACTGAGCAACAAAAGTGGAATTTCGTTATGTGTTTTTAAGGGATATGATTATCAGACCCTGTTGACTAGTGTAATTAACTCGGGTGTCGCTTTGAGAAAACAATACGAACTGCCGGCAGTCAGCTCCGACCATTAAGAGTGTTAAGACTCAGCTACGATGCAAAAATAATTTGAATTTCTCAAAAGCAAATAAGTGAATATTTCTGTACAATGTTGAAGAAATAAACAAGCCAGAAATATATGCAAAATTGTATACCATATAGATATAGGCAAATGTATGTGAAATATCCCATGGCTGATGTGCAGTTGGTGGATGATCTGCTCCTTGATTTGCGGCACATGAAGAACGATTGTGTTAGTCGAGACAACCATAGATTGTTCAAAATTGAATAAATTACTAATTTTTGTTAATTTTTATCTTATTTTTAGTTGGAACTACTGCAGCGCAAGGTGGACGATCTCTCGGATACACAGAATATAGCTGAAGATCGTACAACCCGCACCAAGACCGAGTATGCAGTGCTTCAGGCGCGATATCACATGCTGGAGGAGCAGTACCGAGAGGTGGGTATTAACAGACAATCCATAAGATACTCTTCCATAATGGAGATATTATTCTTTATAGTCGGAACTGCGTGCCGAAGAGCGTCTGGCTGAGGAGCAGAAACGGCATCGCGAGATCCTGGCCCGCGTGGAACGCGAAGCCTCGCTGCAGAACGAAAACTGTCAGATGAAGATCAAGGCCACCGAGATGGAGGCGTCAGCCTTAAGGGACGAGGCGGCCCGACTGCGGGTACTCTGCGACAAGCAGGCCAATGACCTCCATCGCACCGAGGAGCAGCTGGAACTGGCCCGCGACCAAATAGTCTCTCTGCAGCAGGAGCACGAGGAGCAGGAACAGGCCATGCGCCGGCACGAGCAGGAAAAGAAGTCGGCCGAGGAGCTGATGCTCGAGCTAAGTCGGGAACTGCAGCGAGCTCGCGAGGAGAGCGGTGCCCGGGCCATGCCCACCACATCACCGGAGAGCATAAGACTGGAGGAGCTGCACCAGGAGCTCGAGGAAATGCGCCAGAAGAATCGATGTGAGTTTTAAGAATCATAATATAGAAAGATGTGTCTTTACTGAATTAATTTACTTTACAGCCCTCGAGGAGCAGAACGAGGAACTGCAGGCTACAATGCTGACCAACCAGGCCACCATGCTGACAAATGGAGTGGAACAGGGTCGTCATCTGCTGAATGGCACCCTGAACAGCTTGGCCCAGGAACTGGAGGAGATGTCACAAGCTCAGGTGGGTGGTTCGACCCCTTTCTGTAATGTCCTCTGCTTCCGCTTTTTAGTGTAGTCGAAACTGTCATCCCACGCCCACAAAAAAATATGAAAAAAAATACGCCTACAAGCCCAAAAGCACACGCACAGTCACCTCCAATAGAAAACCAGATGAAAATTCAAAACGCAAAACCTATTCTTTTCAAAAGTTACTTAGTGCCCTGCGTCCTTCTCAAGCAACTTATATTTTTTATCTGCCCACATGTGTATTTAAATTGACATTTATTGTATTACAGGATTCTGTGGATTCAGCCACATTAGCATCCTTAAGTCAGGTAATGCTTCAATCACGCAAATCCACAAAAACAACGATAATAAAATCTAAACTAAACACGGTTCTGGAGCCACTCTGCACGCCTCGCAGTTTCAATTTACTGACTTAATCTCAAATTACATATATTTTGGTCCATGGTTTTTGAAATTATTTTAATTTTTTTTGTTCAAAACTCATTACAAACATGTTCTATGGCTTGGTAAACAATCTAACATTCATGTCGTGTGTATATAAAAAAATCATTTCCATATCTATGTTTTTCATGTTGAGAGCCTCTTATAAAACCTATAAACTAATAAATTATATTATTTTGCAGCTGCAACAGGCCTTCCAGGAAAAAGAGGACGAAAACGTTCGACTCAAGCACTATATAGACACCATTCTACTCAACATTGTGGAGAACTATCCCCAGCTGTTGGAGGTGAAGCCTTTGGAGCGAAAGTGAATCATCAGTTGGAAGAACAAAGCAACCCCATGGCACTGTGCCCCAAACAGTGCCCCAACCACCTAACTTTAAAATAAATAAACTAACTAAAACCTATATGTTATGCTAACTTAAGCTACACCCTATACATGTATTTATGCCTAACTTAAGTCGTAACTTATTTTATAACAATTTATTGTAGTTTTTTAAAACCAAAAACAACACTGAATGAGAACACAAAGATTGCATGTCTAAAAAAAAAAGATGAAGAAAAATCTTAAGTTTTGTTTGAAGATAATCCCAATGTTTTGTAAAAAGAAAGCCAAAATTTTGTAAAAGTTTCGTTAACCTATAGAATTGTATAGAGCGTGTTGTTGAGCCCTAAAGATATTATTAATAGTTCATAAGACCATAATAACTTGTTTAATCTTAAATGAAATGAAGCCCAATAATTTATTGATCCAATGACAAGTTGCGATAATTGCTTGAAAAATCAATTGAAAACAATGTGTGTGTATAGTAAGAAATGAGAAACTTTTACGAGATGTTAATGTTTAATAGGAGATATTTTCCAATTTAGTTAAGTCTGGGCAACTGAGAAGGTTCTCTTCCATTCTATCCTGTTTTAGATTTCTTCTATATTCTTTTAAAGCTCTTTCCATCTATTCTAAACTGTTTCTATCTTCATCAGTCTGCGCCTATCTAGTTACAAAAATCTATCAAAAAATTTGCGTTTATGGTATGGACAATCCCAAGTGTAGGCGAACGTTTTGTTTGAAGTGAAGAGAAGCAATTATCATAAGTAGGAGTTATTCGATCGAGCGCCTATATCATAGCCCTCAAACCATATGTCAATGTATAGCACAGTTTAACCCACAAAACTTACTCTGCATATATGTAACCCAACATTTAATGGACGTAATGTGCAAATCGTTTAGGGATCGGCACATGCAAAGGTCTCACCCCAAAGCGATCCCTAATAGTCTAGGCTACAGCTCTATAATAATTATTTTAACCCAGCTAATAATCGGATTGAATCGTTAATCAAAATTAATTGCCTTAAAAAAAGTTTTATAAAGTTTTAAGGCCTAGTTAACTTTAACAGAAAAGTCCATAATGTTTATAGGCATGCCGATTAATATGGAATTTTAAATGTAATTTACCAGATGCAAGTCGCTGAACTTAAATCAAAATAAAAAGAGAATATTTTATACAAAAAATAAAAATTATAAATTCTTTTCATTGACTTGCCTTGCCCTAAAATCAAAGCGATGCTAATTGGGGGAACCCGTCCAGAAGCACAATGCACATTAATGGCGAATTTATTAAGGAAGCTTTTGGGTGCAAAACTGGTTCGAAAGGAGCGATTGCGTAAGATCTTCTTGATTGTGAAGCGATATTTAAGCCGATCTGAGATCCAGTCAAGGCCAGAGAAGACATTGGTGTTGAAGTTGCAAGATGTTGAAGCTGTTTTATCCTTTGGCCGCAGGTGGATTATCCTTTATAATATCTTCCTCTTGAACTTGGTTTAATGAATTGAAATTTTTTCAGTGCTGCTGTGTTTTGTCTTCGCCACAGCGCAGGTTGTGCCAAATACAGAGATCGGCCGTATTACTATCCAAGTGCCGTTGCTGTCCAATGGAAAGCCCGTGATCCTCACCAACCAGGATAGGGAGGAAGTGGCTCATGTGGAGGAGATCAAGCCGGGAAAGGTGCATGTAGTCCAGGAAGTAGTGGTTCCGCCAACGGTTAAGTCGGAGAGCAAGGTTCGTGTGGCCAGAGCCGTGGGAGGATATAACTCTGGACTCCCCAATCCGGGCATCCCCAATCATGGTATCCCGAATCGCGGTATTCCCAATGACGGAATCCCTAATCCTGGAATTCCCATTGATAATATTCCCAATCCTGGCGTCCCTAATCATGGGATCCCGAACCCTGGCATCCCCAATCATGGAATTCCTAACCGTGGCATTCCCAACGATGGAATCCCCAATCCCGGAATCCCTAATCATGGCATTCCCAATCCTGGCATCCCTAATCATGGAATTCCTAACCGTGGCATTCCCAACGATGGCATCCCCAACCCTGGTATTCCAAACCATGGAATACCCAATCCTGGCGTCCCCAACCATGGCATTCCCAATCCAGGAGTTCCCAATCCCGAAGCCTCCGAAATCCAATCGGTTGTGGTGACTCCCAAAAGTGTAACGACCACTGCACCCGTAACCACCGAGATGCCCAAGCGAGTGACCACCCGGAACTGTCATCATCTCCTGATGGGTGGAATGACCACCATGTCCCCAACAGAGGTGACCAGTATGCCAGTGGAGAACTGCGATGAGTTGTGCACCAAACTGGAATACGTTCCGATCTGCGGCTACAATGGCCACTGCATCCATGAGTTCTCCAACCAGTGTGTGATGGACTCCTTCAACTGCCGGCATCGGGAGCAGGTCTTCCGGGCAGTGGACGAGGATGTCTGCCGGTTGGGAGTATGTGTGAGGAGATGCACAGAGGAGGAACTCAAACATTAATACTAAAAATTTAATTTGCATTAGTTCGTAAACTCATTTCTCATATCTTAAATAAAAATCGTAAAATCATTTTAATTAAACATGTTTGTAAAATTTATTTACCTATGTTTTTATTTTAGATGAAAGTTTAATTTTCAAAACTAAGAATAAGAAACAAGGTATGCAATTCTAGCAGCTAGGGCCTTCGATTGCACTTATAAAGATAAAGATCATGGAAGAGACAGACATAATTGCACAGATTTATTAGTTTTAGAAATTTAATAACTGTTTGAACTGTATAAAACTGAATAACTGTATAAAATTGTTAAGCGTATTTCTTAGTATTATATTTAGAAAGAATGATCATAAGATTCAAACCATTGCAATGATAAGGAGTTAAAAATTAATTTACCCATTGAAATATGGAGAAACGATTGTCAAGTCAAGCCAAGATTTATCAAATGGATACACATTTTTCCATTTAATAAATATCAAAAAATAGTAAAATATTTTTAAGAAATTTCTTAGTGGAAACATTTTAAATTTATTTTCACTCTTTAGCAAATATTTTAACTGTTTGGCGACCGATCGCAAACATAATACCATTTATGAATCAGAACTTTAGGCCCCTTCAATCTTCCATAAAGGCCCCTGATTCAAAATCATTCCATAAATTTTGTGGCCCGGTTTTTTGTTGAGAATGGTCTCGATTAAAGATCTTAGATCGGGAAGGTAAACCATTCCTGAATCTCACACGTATTAGCCGAGTTGTACACACTTTCCATTTAGAAAAATGATAAAATACCCCTATTTTGTATTTAAAATAAAACATTTATATTATTTTTGTGAGTTTCTTTATTTTAAAATCTACAACCTCCCAACCCTTTAAATCCTTCACAAGCCGAACTCCCTGAGATCCTCTTCCCGGCAAAGAGGCTGCCAGTCCTTCTCGCAACGATGATCTTCGACGGACTTGAACATCTTCTGGGGATTCCGGCAGTTGTAGGCTGTCATGGCACAGCGACTGTCAAACTTTAGCAGGCACTGCCCGTTCGTGGCGCAAACTGAGGGATCCTTGCCAGGACAATAGAATTCACACTTCTCCTCCACTTCTCCGTCATAAACCCTTTTTCCATGCTGATCGATGCTGAGGTTAGTGGGCTTTGCAACGGGCAGGACATTGGCAGCACAATAGGCAATCAGAGCTGTTGAAAGGATTCGTTGAGTTTTTTTTTAAATGATTATGTGTGTGTGTGGAAAAACATACCCAGAAAGAACAGCGACAGGATATGCATTGTTGATTTTCTGATGGATTTTCGGTTGGGACTGTTGATCCTTTTTTTCGCGTTTACCTTGCTGTGGCGGCAGCAACTGAAAAACTGTTGATTCGGCCATCGGATGGCCAGGATTTTATAGCCACACAAATTTTTGCTGACTAAAGCGGTTTGTTTTCCGCTTCTGCTGCTGGGTCTGCGGTATGTCCTTCCTGATTCCATGCATAATCCGTTATTTCAACACCTGCCACAGATATTAAATTGCATCATCATCAGCATCACCATCAGGAGCTGGAGCGACATCAACAGCTTTGTCTGTCATTTTTATTCTTAACTGCCCTGTAATTTAATTGTCCCGCCCTGCTAAAAATAAAACTCTGAATATGAAATGCCAAATTTGCATATTTTTTTCGTTGCCATTTAAATTTGAGGCCCAGCGATTGTCTGGTTCGCCTAAAAGTTCGCTTTGAAAAATGTATATTTTTCTTAGTTTCGGAAAATTCCGTTTTATTTTTAATGGCGTTTAAGTATAGCTTTTGTTAAGATAATTATTAAAAGCTAAATTAATAGGTTTAACCAATAATTGTAACACCTTTAATACCTGTTTTAATTTTTCCTTTTGAGGCTGTAATAAAATTTTTAAGCTTAATTCTTTTTATTGCATTTCTAAATGTTTTAAAAAACACCTATAATTTTTCTAAAATCTCTCGCCCACTTGCTTTAAGATATTTTTGTCTTATTGTGTTATTTTTAATAATTTGTGTACACCTGCCATAATTTGGTATTTAAATATGTTCTTTTAAAAAAAATCAATTCCCATAAGGAAGCGATTTAAGCAATTTGAGAGATATATCCAGACGTCCCGACAAGTCTCTTTTCGCCAGCAAGTAACACCTCCAAGTCTCGACTCAACGATCCGTTCAAGCGAGACAAGAAAACCTGTTGCCAGCCCGTGTCTGGAGAATTTACATAAAATTCGAATAATAACATAAACAAATCGTATTAAACAAATCGTTAGCATGGCTGATGACGGTTCAGGGAGCTCTGTGCAAATCTTAAAACCTTTATAAATTGCCAGAATTTTTGGGGAAAAGTCACAGAACACTTTCGAGTGTTGAAGGAACAAGAAGCTTGGAATTAACTTAACAAAATGAAATTTATTATATTGATTGGTAAGTCTTTTTAAAATAGTTTAGCTTTTTAAACGAAGTACTAACTGAATCCTGTCTTTGACAGCCTTCCTATCCTTGGGGCAAGCTGTCGATTTGCCCCAGACCACGGATACCACATCAACCACAACGGGCAAGCCACAGACTACTGAGTTGCCGCAGCACATCAAGGATCTCATAACCAGCCACATCAATCATGTGCTCCAGCACATTAAGAACAATCCCTCCCCAACGACTCTAACAGGGTCCATCGATGGGAGTAACGGGAGTAATGGCAACAAGGGGATTACGAGTGGGACGCCAGTCGTCGTTCCCTATCCAGATCTCCTTCCACCATTGGCACACTCTGGTGATGTCCATGCCCCTGCCCCTGTTGACCAGCCAGCGGCTGCACCTGCGTTGCAACCTGGCCTACAATCGGTGCAAGCTGGCAATCCATCGATAAAGGTGACCGACCACAAGGCCACCGGAGTCCTTCTCCACCAGGGTCGGCCTGTGATTCACAATAAAGTTCAGCATTTGGGTGATTCTAGTCCGGTCGCCGATGTCTCCGAAAAGTTGCACTCATTGCAGCATCATGTCAACAAGGTGATGCAACAGGCGGAACAGCACATTCCACTGGCGGTTCAGCAGGCAATCCGGAAGAGGAAAGAGCAGCAGGAGCAGAGGGAAAAACAGGAGCAGCTCCAGAAGGACAAGGAGCAGAAGGACAAGGACCAGAAGGACAAGGAGCCAGAGGTTGAGAAACCCGCTAAGGAGGAGACCAGTCCCAATAAAACCCCTCGCGCCCTGGTGATCCCACCACATGTCTCCAACATTGTAAACCAGGTCCATGCCCACATCCCCCAACTGATTGCCCAGCACAAGGAGGAGATCAAGCTGGGCAAGTGTAGCTTTCAGTGTCCCCGGGAGGCATTGAACATTTGTGCCAGCAACGGCAAGTGTGTGGTCAATTTTCCCGGCCAGTGCGAGCTGAGCCAGTGGAACTGCTTCAACACCAAGAATGGTAAGTAAACTATATCCAAAGCCCCATTGGCACATTAATTTATTTTCTATTCCATTTCTTTCCCGCAGTTTTCCACCAGGTGCACGATTCCGAGTGCCAGAACACCATCAAGTGCTATCAGAGAGATATGATGTAATAAGTACGAACCAAAACGAATTTCTTAAAAAAAATATCATAATGTGTGAAAAGCTAATAATTAAGAAAATAAATAAATAAAATTGCAAATTGGACTTGTTAGAAAATTATCAAAACACTAAAAGATACTTGGACAATCCAATCCTACATATTCTTAACTTTTCAAAGTATTTCTTTTATGAATCTCCATTTGTTTGCTTGACATTTTATCTTCACTTTTGCCACACTTTCACAATGGCAACCGTCTCAGTCCCAGTCCCAGACCCATCTGCTCTGTTGGCAGCAATCATCCAATTTGTCAAAATGGCTTATTAACGGATTTCGGTAAGAGCCGCACAAGAACGCAGGACAAGCCTGGCGAAGCTGGCTGAAATAAATGTCATTATCATTGATTTGCCAATACAAATGCCACAAAACCGACAGTTTGCCAGGCGTTGGGGATTTGACTTGGAGATTGGAGCCCTGCCAGCAGTCAGCTGGGTAACGATTCGGGAGACATTTCTGCTTCGGCTTATCACTAAAATGTTGCAAATGTTGCCATTTTCATACACACAAAAAAATCTTCATCTTCAACTTAAAAAATTGCAGAAAAAAAGCAAATTCAAAAAATTTGAAAACAATAAAAGAGCAATGTTTTGAATAAGGAAAGTCGCTTCTGGGTTCGCTGATTACTGAATGGTACTTTATTTTGTGATCGGATACAAATTGACAGAGCTATGGCCATCGGAAGGGGCAAAAGTGGGGAAATCGGGAAAACCCGCAATTTTATAGGGGAGCCCCTGGAAAAAATTCGAAAATTTTGAAAACGATATTTAAACAATGTTTTGAATGAGGGAAGTCGCTTCTGGGTTCGCAGATTACTGAATGGTACTTTATTTTGTGATCGGATACAAATTGACAGAGCTATGGCCATCGGAAGGGGCAAAAGTGGGGAAATCGGGAAAACCCGCAATTTTATAGGGGAGCCCCTTGGAAAAAATTCGAAAATTTTGAAAACGATATTTAAACAATGTTTTAAATGAGGGAAGTCGCTTCTGGGTTCGCTGATTACTGAATGGTACTTTATTTTGTGATCGGATACAAATTGACAGAGCTATGGCCATCGGAAGGGGCAAAAGTGGGGAAATCGGGAAAACCCGCAATTTTATAGGGGAGCCCCTTGGAAAAAATTCGAAAATTTTGAAAACGATATTTAAACAATGTTTTGAATGAGGGAAGTCGCTTCTGGGTTCGCTGATTACTGAATGGTACTTTATTTTGTGATCGGATACAAATTGACATAGCTATGGCCATCGGAAGGGGCAAAAGTGGGGAAATCGGGAAAACCCGCAATTTTATAGGGGAGCCCCTTGGAAAAAATTCGAAAATTTTGAAAACGATATTTAAACAATGTTTTGAATGAGGGAAGTCGCTTCTGGGTTCGCTGATTACTGAATGGTACTTTATTTTGTGATCGGATACAAATTGACAGAGCTATGGCCATCGGAAGGGGCAAAAGTGGGGAAATCGGGAAAACCCGCAATTTTATAGGGGAGCCTCTTGGAAAAAATTCGAAAATTTTGAAAACGATATTTAAACAATGTTTTGAATGAGGAAAGTCGCTTCTAGGTTCGCTGATTACTGAATGGTACTTTATTTTGTGATCGGATACAAATTGACAGAGCTATGGCCATCGGAAGGGGCAAAAGTGGGGAAATCGGGAAAACCCGCAATTTTATTGGGGAGCCCCTTGGAAAAAATTCGAAAATTTTGAAAACGATATTTAAACAATGTTTTGAATGAGGAAAGTCGCTTCTGGGTTCGCTGATTACTGAATGGTACTTTATTTTGTGATCGGATGCAAATTGACAGAGCTATGGCCATCGGAAGGGGCAAAAGTGGGGAAATCGGGAAAACCCCCAATTTTATAGGGGAGCTCCTTGGAAAAAATTCGAAAATTTGAAAACGATTTTTAAGCAATGTTTTGAATAAGGAAAGTCGCTTTTGAGTTCGCTGGTTACTGAATGGTACTTTATTTCGTGATCGGATACAAATTCGGCATCGGTTAATTGGGAAAACCCACAATTTTACCCTTATAAATATTGTTTTTTTTGCAAGCAAAAGATACTCCAATGTCTCAACGAAAATTATTTTTAAGCTTTTCTTCCTGTGCTGCCAATTGTTAGCTGAATCCGCATATGGAAATGGAGACTTGTTTTGGATGTCGGACCTGAAGGCGATAACTATTTGAAATGGCCTATGCAAATTGGGGTTTTGACCAATTAAAAAGCACTTTGTGCTGTGTGAGTTCACCAAAAGTTCACAAATTGTTTTGCGGCTTGAGCAGGAATACCTCTGGAAAAGATTGCCATCTTGTTTGATGCACTTATCAATTCTGAAAAGAAACTATATTTTACATATTTCCATGTATCTGGCTTTGTATTGGCTGTGCCCCCCAACCAGCAAAACTGTTAACTATTCTACGTGGCATGCGAAATCTACGACATCTATTCGCCTTTTGGGGCCCATAAATTTTCCACTTTTCCATTCCCAATTCCCGCTGGAGAGATCCCCCAGACTAGATTCTAGTCGTTTTCCCCTTCATGCCATCGACTCGTGTACTACAAATGTTTGACTTAGTTTCGCCGCATTTGGCTGCCTGCTGCGTGCCTGGACTTCTTCTTCTGCCCCATTTCGGGGCACAGAGTGGTCGGCACAGAGCCACGCATGCGTCTTGGCCATTTCCACGCCTCTCGTGTCCTCGCACCCTTGCTTTTAGAACCTACCTCTGGCTAAAGAGCCACAAAAAAAGCTCCGTTAACTCTGCAGTGCGCTTATCTTAGCCAAATGCTTTAGCTTGGCTTTGCTTTTGGTACACTGAGCGAAAAGGTAAGGATTTTAATAAACTAAATGGCTTGCTGATGGCCCAAAAAAGGATATAGGCTATGATTCTTATTAGGAAGGACTATTAATTTATTAAAATTATATTTTATTTTAATTTTTTTTGAGTGCTTGTAGGCCGTCTATTTTATGCCAAATGCGTGAGCTGTGGGCCGTGCCGTAGTTTGATGGCTGGGATAGCTCCAACTTCTACTACAGCTTCTGATTTGGCCGGGTCTAGAGCAGAGCCAGAGCAGAGCGGAAATGCAATTAACACTTTGGGCCGTAATTGCGTGCCAAATGCATTTCGCTTGCTCTGTGGCCAAGTCCATACCATGGGCCATGTTCACCAGGATGGCAGGGAGTTGATGGGGAATGGAAAGCAGGAGTACAGGCTCCTACTGGCAGTCTTGTTTTGATTTGCTGGGCTCATTTGCAAGAAATGTGTTCATAAATCAATTTGGAAAAGCTCGTTGGTAACTCCTTTTTAGAAAAGCCTTTCTTTGGATGGGGGATCTTGAGATGTAGGACCATATGTTCGGGACTTTTTTAAATATCATGCATCTTTATACCATTTATTGATTTAAATCTCTTAGCCCAATAATTGCTCTTTCGTTTGATGTTCTTCGAACCATAAATTCGCTCCTTAACTGGCTTTATACTCGCTGGCAGTTTCCGCGATTTCCACCCAAAATGGCTACCAATTTGGCAATTCCTGGTGGGCATTGCCGGTCAGGGCACTTCCTGTTTCTGTTTCTCCCACATTAAATGCGGACTGTAACTTTGTTTTCCATTTAAGTGAAATTAATTGAGTAATTTGATGCGAAATGTTTGCGACACGCAAAGGAAAAAAATTGAAAAAAATAATGGTGGGTGGGGGCGGGTAAGCTGTGGGCGTGGCATGGGGATGGAGGAGTACGGCAGATGCAGATTATAAAATGGCTGGCAGGCAGAACTGAACTGGACTGAAAACCAGGCCACGCAACAGAATTTAATATAAAGCATATTAACTTTGATGGCAAATGACCGCGGGCAGAAGGACGCAAAAGGGGGGGAGGGCGGTGAGGGATCTGGACCTGGGCAGTTCTGAGCCAAGTCCAACACATGTTTGATGATGATGCGCGCTTTTGAAGTCGCTGGCAGTTGGGCCCATCGTGGGTTCCAGCCGCCTGACAACCGTTTAAAAAGGTTTTATTTACACCGAATCCGGCAGCTGAAGAGGGATGGCAATAGTGCAAACGAGACAGGCATATAATGCCCGGGAATTGGTCTTGGCCAGGTCCGATGTGCAGCGCAATTAAGTTGCCAACAACTTTGAAATTATGCAATTATGGGTATGAGAAATTGCCTGGAAATTACACGAGAGACTTGACGAACAGCAGAAGCCAAGAAGAGAAGTTACACTTGAAAAAAAATCTATATAATATTCTTTAATAAAAGAAATTAATTATTAAAGAAAAAGGAAAAAGTTCAAGATGATTTTTAAATTAAATTCAAGCCACCAAAGTCTTGAAAAAGTGTCAGAATTTTTTCCAAATTGATTAGATTTTTTTCCCAGTGAAGAAACTTCTAAAGTGAAGCTTAAATCAGCTGAAGTGAAGCTCCGAGCTCGACTCCCGACTCGGAGCCTACTTGATTATTTATTAAAACGAAAGTTAAACAGCGAAAGGAAGCAATTTTCCATATAAAAGAAGCCAACTACGCTGCTGAGGAAGCCGGCCGGGATTCGCCGGCCGATGTGTCTATGCAAGTTGGCTGAAACCCCTTCTGAGCGTAATTGCCATGTTTAAAGTGTGATTAATTTGTAATCATCAAAAAGGCAAAAACAGGCATATAGGGGAAGTTCGGCTTCCAGCCGAGGTAGAAGAAGCTCGGCAAATGTTTGCATTTTAAGTTGCCAGCCAGAAGACCAGCAAGGCAGAAAGCCAGAAACGGAATAAAACGGAGTTGGAGTTTGAGCCAAAGCCTGGAATCCCCTTAGGGTGGACCAAATGGCGGAGCTATACAGAGGGGGCAGGGAGAGGAGTAGGTGCGGGACAACAGCGTGTTCTCTAAGTAATTGAGTTTGCTCGTCGAGGCGTTGAAAGTGGCCAAGAACCACTGGTGGAAGGGGGGCAGGGTCCAAAGGCATCCGCGGAAATAATGAGCAAGCAAAGCTTTATGCATAATGTTTCCACTCCAGCCTGATGGGTATGTAACACATTCATGATTAAAAAGCAGAGTGTATTATTACCCACTTAGCCATTTATAAAATTGCTCTAAACTCGAAAGTTTTCTTTTAAAACAGAGGTGGCAAAACTATAGTTAGAAACATTTTGGCAACAACTAAAGCTTGCTGGCTAGGATTGCCCCGTTTTGACCAAATTTGGTAAGCCAATACATACCGGGGAGAACATTCTTTATCAATCGTTTATCGGCCGGTAATCGTGATCGCGGCCACTGCCATTGCCGGTTTCATTAGCTGACAACTTTATTAGCACCTGAGTGTAGAAGCCATGCTGGAGATTTGGTCAAGACGCCGCCGTTAACACGATTCTCAGCTGGCCAAGGCTAATTACGGCAAGTCCGAGATACCCGAACAGATCCATAAAAGTGAATCGCAAATGCATTGCCATTAATTAAGCCAAAGTATAAATCTTGCAGTGCTCCCGAACCGAAAACCAAACAAAGCAGGAAGCTGCCAAAGTCATCCAAGCGGACCGCCTGCCGCGCATGCGCAAATCAGAACTCAGAGAGGGGCACTGGCACTGGGAAGGAGCACTGCTGGCTTTGGTCCGACATTCCAAATAATTACAAGCTATAAAAATTTATGAGCGCCAAGGATTTTTTTTTTGTTGTGTTGCCACCAGAAAGAAAGAGGCGAATGCGTGTGTGAGCACCGGGCGATTGTGGCAAGAAGAAGTACGAGTATCTATGCATCTCCCAGAAACACTACGCTCACCCATAAAAAGGCTAGTCGTCTCAAAATGCCTGGCCGGTGCCTGGTGCCTGCTCCCGGCTACCGGTTCCTTTTCGTCTTGGCCGGTTTTGGCCGGCCTTTTGTTCTGGTTTGGCGCATTGATTGAAAATTAAGTTGTGCCGATTGGGTGGCTCTCCATCCATCATTCAATCATCCCGTCACGAAATGTGTTAAAATTCAATTTCAAATTCTAGAAAAGGAATTATATTTTATATTTAATTGTATCGGCTTGAGGCAAGAAATTGTATCTTCCAGATCGGCATAAAAATTTAATAGTATCCATGGGATATTTTTAAAAAACATTAAGTGTAACTCCTAGAAACTGCCATGGATAGAAAGGCCTATATAAGAAGATTTATGAATATGTTCTTTTGACTTTGCACGTTTTATCTTCTTGTTTAAAATCCATTTAGATGGCTCATCTCTTTTGACACATCCGCTTGACTTTCTTTCAAAGTCTATTGATTTCAGCTCTTGTCGCCTGGCCTGGCCAGACTCCCTGATGACCATCGGCCAGGCCAGACATTCAATTTGAATCGTTGTCATATGAAGTCAACGCAATAACTTCTCCCGGCCCAATCCCAGACCCAATCCTGGCCCCAATCCCGGGTCCCGTGATGGCTACATCATGCTCTTCCACTTGATTTACGTCTAACTGTAATCGAATAATATATCAGGCGAAGGCCAGCCCAAGTCCCACCCAACTCCAGGTAGCCACAAAAACCAATCCTGTCTGCGGATGCCCCCCTGTCGCCGGCCTCGTCTAGAATCTGCCCCGGGCCAGGTAGCGAAGGCCACCGCTCCGGTTGCCCCAACCCGCTTAACGGCACGACAGTCTTAGTCAAAAGCTCAGGCATAAAATCAATTACATTGACAAATGAGCAGCTGACAAGCAAATGCACCGAAAAGGGGGCTAAAGGGTGGCTAGTTACGTGAATCAAGGGGGTAGATGCAAAGGGGCCGGTTCGGTAGAGGGAGCATGTGTCAGAGCGTCCCAAAAGCGCAGTTTGCCCCGCTCGGGGAGTCACTAGGTGAAGGCATACTATGGGAGATATGTTGAACAATTTCAAAACTCCCATAAGGTAAAATTTTTAAAGAAGCAATAGCTTGATTGCAGCCACTGTACTATATCTTGGTGTCTGGTCTACAATCTCCATGTTAAACATATAATCGGGCCACATACACATCGGTCCACAAGTCAGCTTCTTCGATGCCCTCACTGCCTGTCTCCGCCCAGGCCTAGTCGTCACATGAATTATGTGACTTATTAAAACGTCATTCGAGCTGACAAGTTGCCTTTGCCACTGTCGTTTGTCCACTCGGGCTCAGTTGCCCAGGTGGCTCAGCTCTTCAGCCCCTCGGACACTTGGGAGCTAAGCGGGGATCTTCTATTTATTATAAATGCAAGTTCCGGCCCTCGATTGTCGGTTACCTGGGTCCTTTGTTTACGCACTTGGTGTCTCTGATAAATCAGCCACCTGGTAGTCTGTTCGACTTCATTCAAATAACTTTTAAAATTTTTAACTTTGATAGACTTATTAATACTTGACAATAATTTAATTTTTGGATTATTTGGTGGTACGGCTACCCCCACAATCTGTGCTAATCCACCGTTTTACTTTGAAGATACTTTATTTAATGTCATTTTCGGATATTTATTTTAATACTGACCTGAAGACAAGTGTCTAGATATTTTTTTACATTTTCGAACCGATGTCCGATGCTGCTTTCAAGAAGGAAAATACACTGATAACGTACAATACCACACAATATAATGGATAAAGGTCCTAGCGTTCTCACCAAGTGCTACTTGGTGACTTGGAAAAATTTTGGTCTTTTTTTCAACGTAAGATCCATAATATTGGCGTGTGTTTTTTTGCTGTTGCCAGTGGCGATAATGAGTTTAAGATTTCTCGATTCCGAGGGTGATATAGTAATTGACTCTAGATTGGAGCTTAATTCTGCCGACTTGGAGGACCTCAGTAATGATACTAACAAGTAAGACAAATACACTTTCTTCCAAAAACTAAAAATAGCAATAATGTTCCTCCCAGAATTGAAGGATTGGGTTACACCCCAAAAAGTGACTTCCTTGAAGCCTTTCTCAAGGCTGCTAATCTTAATGTAACAAAAGCATTTTCCAATCGTCGCGATCTTGTGGCAAATGTAAAGGAAGAAAAGATAAAGTACGGCATCCAATTTCCAGACAGCTGGTCGGATATGAGCAGTTTGCCCGATAAGTTTTCATTCTCGATAGTTTCATTAGATCCTTATCAGGCGCTGATCCGTTTTGGAATGCCGGAAAAGTCAACATACGCGGAAAAGCCAGCGTTTCTCAAGATTCAGAATGTTTTGAGCCTGCAGTATATATATGCAAAGGCTGAAGAACGCAAAATATCTGCAAACTTTACGGTACCAGAGTTTAAGGTGCTCCCTTCTCTCCCGACACATAATTTGGGGTCTATTCCTGGGCTTGGCATGCTTCAATATTTTATGTCCATAGTGCTTCTAACTTCAAGATTGGCAACGGTTTGGCATTGCACATATTTGAATGACAAACTGGTGTATTGATTATCCTTCTTTAGGTCATTCTCGAGGAGAAGGTGTTGCAGCTCAAGGAGACACTAAGAATGCTGAGTGTGAGTAATTTCATTCAGTGGCTAGCCTGGTATATCTTCGGCATGAGTGTCTTCACCTTATTGGCTGTCGTAAACACGATCTGTTGGGTTCTGAAGCTGCCTGCTTGGTCGCAACCAATGGTTCCATATTGCAATTGGTCCATTATCCTGGTCATGCTGATTATTTTTGGGCATGCGGCCGTGTGTTTCGCCTTTTTGGTCAGCTCGATTTTTAATTCGCGTAAACGTATCTACATTTGGACGCTTCTTGGCCTAGTTGTATCATTTTTACCACGTTTGCTTATTGATACCGATTCCGGACCAGTGCAAATCTTTATAAGCAGCATGTTTTTGATGACCGGTATACGATTGTCCTTGGATGATGTTGAATCATGGGGATACTTTAATGACCCCATGGAGTGGAGCTCTTTTTTCGATGTGTTTTGGGCTGGCGGCGGCATTGGTTTTGGCTGGAAACTAGTTGCGATCTTACTGGGCAGTGTTATATGCATCTTCTTGTGTTTGTACATTGATCAAATCCATCCAGGACCTTACGGAGTGTCAAAACCATGGCACTTTCCCTGCTCTATATGCTGCAAGAAGCACGGCCTTCTGAAATCGTTCTATCGCCCATACATCCACTGTTTAGCCACATTTCGGCGACACAGCGACGAGGAGCATGCTGACCCTGGCGACAACATCACACTCTTAACCGAGCCACTGCCAGGGGACAAAAAGGTCGGTGTCGAGATCAAAAACATATGCCGATCCTTTGGCACCAAGAATGCTGTCAAGAATCTAAGTTTCAGTATTCTGGAGGACGAGGTCACCATTCTAATGGGCCACAATGGAGCCGGCAAAACCACGTTGATCAGCATGCTGACCTGCTTCATCCAGCCCACCTCCGGCACGGCCCTCATCAATGGCTACGACATCAGGACACAACGTTCCCAAGCCCGGCGCTGCATGGGCGTCTGCCCGCAGAGTAATGTCCTTTTCAGTGAGCTGAGTGTCGCTAGTCATATCCGGCTCTTTGCTCGGCTAAGGGGCATGAAGGGGCCAGCGGTCAAGGAGGAGGTCAAAAAGTACCTCGAAAAGCTCAACCTTAAGGATAAAAGCCATGTGGCGGCCAAAAAACTCTCAGGCGGTACTCAGAGGCGATTGAATGTGGCATGTGCTCTGTGTGGAGGAGTTAAGGTAGGTCTGTGTTAGAACTTAACACTCAAAAGGTCCTGGAAGTTTAGAAAAATTATTCAAAAGCCCTGGTAAAAATTGATCATATTCAGGTACTGTTCTGTGACGAGCCAAGCACTGGCCTGGACCCTGCTTCGCGCCGCGAACTCTGGAAGCTGATCCTGGAGGCGAAGAAGGGCTGCTCCATCCTGCTAACCACTCACCAGTTGGACGATGGGGAGGCCCTGGGCGATCGGTTTGCCATCGTCAGTGATGGGCAGCTGAGGTGCCACGGGACACTGTCTTTTCTGAAGCGTCAGGTGGACGCTAGTTCATTGCTGACCTGCGAAGCGAAAAAGAACTGTGATGTTCAAAAGTTAACCTCGCTGATCGCCAGTCATGTGGGAGCCATCCAGCCCGATAGCTTTATTGGTCGAGATATTTGCTACAAACTACCACTGCGCTTGTCCTCGTCCTTTCCATCGCTATTTCGGGATCTGGAGCAGAAAAAGGACAGTCTGGGGATTCGCGGATTTGGAGTGAGTGCCATGAGTCTCGAGGAGATCTTTATGACCTACGGCGCCGAGAAACCCAAAATTTTGTCTTTGAAATCCCGGCCAATTCGAGAATCTGGTGGTAGAGAAGAGGACCAGGTCGATATCGAGGAGGAGGATGAAACTGACAGAAATTGTGCGGATCACTGGAGGGCGATGATGTCGAAAAAGATGTTGTTCATGTGGCACGAAAAGGTAATGAGAATACCTTTAGCTACCCACTAACTGCCTGACGTTTTTCTTAGATCTTATTTTTAGTTATACTGCTGATTCCAACACTATATTGTGTTAGTGTACTGTTAGGGAAGTTAGTGGATATTACTGTACAACATAGTATGGATATCAGTAACTACGGCGACGCCTCGCTACAGATTCTTGTTCAAGAGCCAAAGGATAATGAAGATGGTGTACGGCGGATGGAAATTTTGAAGAAACTTATCGGAGACTATTGTGATGTCAAGACAATATCGGAGCCTCCTGAAGACTATGTCGAGGACAAATTTGTGGATAACAAGGGAAGGCATGAAGTAAAGTTTTTCCTAATGGCAGTGGATTTTGAAAATGGGATCACAGGATGGACTGGTCCCAAAGAAATCCTTCATGCTGTACCCCTTACCATTAATGTCATCTACAATGTCCTGGCGAAAGACGTCCTTGGGCCTGAAGCTAGCATAGTGGCTGCTAATTCTCCACAACAAAGTTCTTTTTTTGATAAGTTTGATGAAAGCACCCGAATATACATGGCGCTCATATACATTGTCATCGTCTTGTATGTATTGTCGATGTCCATCATCCATGAGCGGACATCGCACATGAAGCAGCAGCAAGCGGTGTCCGGTGTGAGCATGATCACCTATTGGATGTCCCACTTCGTGGTCGACCTTCTGGTCTTTATGATATGTATGCTGCCGCTTGCTCCATGTGTGATCAGCGATATCGATTGGGGTCGTACCCTTTTCGTGTTTTTCCTGATCGGAGCTTCCAGCTTGCTCCTTCTTTATCTCTTGGCCTCTGTTGCATCTGCTATGGTTACAAACTTTGTGTTCGCATTTGGTAAGGATCCAGACATGCTGCTCATTTCATATAATTTTCCTCAAAAGTCCCCAATTACAGCTATAGTTGGGAATATGGCAATTTTGATTATTGCAGCGATAGCTATATGGAAGAAAAAATTCATGGTTCTAGTATTCCTATTATATTTACATCCTCTTCATTGTGGGTTGACGGCCCTGTCGAAATGTGACAAAATGAATAGGATTTGTGGGAAAACCAACTACGAAGAATTACACAAAGAGTCCTTATGCTTAAATCCCATGTTTTCTTTAGAGTCATATCAATGCCTTTGTAATGGTTGGTCTCATTTATTACTAAATTTTGATTTAAATAAAAGTTAATATTTTTTAGGATTTCTAACCTGGTTTGAGGAAAAATTTCTAATTTTTCTTGTCGTACTATATTTTATCTTGCTAATGCTGTTTGAGTACGGCACTGGTTTGTGCTACGCACTAAAGGATATTTGTCAAGGTAAGGCAGATGACATCGAAGATCCTGAAATAGCCAGGAAAGCGGAGAAGATTGCAAATTATAGTGATTCTCAGTTACGAAGTCTGGCCCTTGTCGTAAGAGGGGTATCCAAGAGCTACATGTGCCAAAGTGTGGTGAATAATGTTTCCTTTGCAGTAAGACCGTGAGTAGTTACCTAAAATACTTCATTCAAATGTTGTTTCTATTTAAATATCTTTATTAGGCAGGCTTGTGTGGGCTTACTGGGGCCAAATGGTGCCGGAAAAACCACTACTTTCAAGATGATTGTTGGCGATACTCTACTGGGCAGTGGCAATGTATTCATTAAAGGATACAGTGTTAAAACGCAGAAGAAGTTGGCCATCAGCCAAATGGGCTACTGTCCGCAGTTTGATAGTTTCTTTGAATTCTTTACTGGGCGACAAGCTCTCTATTTTTTCCTTCGGTTGCGAGGAACCCAACGCACGTATCTTAAAGGATGCGCCGAAAAATTAGCCCAAGATTTTGGATTTCGCCAGCACTTGGACGCAAAGGTAAACAATTTTTATTTATTATATTCGATTCCAATCTCCACTTTCCAGATCAAGAACTATAGCGGCGGCACTAAGCGGAAAATTAATGCTGCCGTAGCGTCCAGAGGAGAAACTTTGATCTGTATGGACGAGCCCAGTTCCGGAGTGGATCCGGCCTCGCGCCGGCATATCTGGAACATCTATCAAGGGTTGGCCAGCCAGAACAAATCGGTGCTACTCACCTCCCACAGCATGGACGAGATCAATGCTCTTTGCTCTAAAATCGTCATATTGGTGGATGGCAAGATATCCGCCATGGGATCGAATCAGAATGTCAAGGACAAGATTACCCAGTACCTAGTGATCAAGATGACCGTGAAGGCGACGCAAGAAGAGTGAGTTTCTTTTTTAAGCCTTTGACTCATTGACCTTTTCTTAATCCTGATTCCAGCATGGAAAAAATTCTGAGCAAGATTGAAGAAGAACTTCCGGCCGCCTATCCTGGGGCCAGCTTGGAGTGAGTTGGATACAGCTTATATTTGTGATTATTTATCTTAATTTTGAATATAGGGAAAAGTACGAGTTCAGTGGACGGCTGGTGTTTAGAATCCCCAATAAGGATATCAAATTGTCGGAGGTTTACGGATTGCTGGAAAAAAACCGCAACTCCTGGCAGCTTCTGGACTATTTCGCATCCCAGCCAACCTTCGATGATGTTTTCGAGGATATTCTCGCAGAGAAAAAGAAAAAAGAGGACCAGAAAAAGCACAAAGAACCAAAAGAAAAAACAAAAAACAGAAATAGAAAAGAAAGTCCTTCAAGAAAAAAGGACCAAGATGGACCTTCAACTAGCAGGAAGAGTCGTAAAAAATAATAGTTTCATTGGTAAAAATCAAGAGTCTACGAAACAAAATTCATACGTTTTTACAAATTTTAGGTAATGCCATGTTTGCTAACAATTTATATAATTTTGTCATGTGACTTGGATATATTCTAAAGACTTTTATTCTACACATGTTTCAATAACACTGCCCATCATATTTGTGGCGACAAATGTTACACATCATAAAACAAAAGGATCTCCCACTCCACTCTCCGACTTGTTCACACCCTTCATGTTTTATGTGATGGCATTATGGCCTGGTTTATGGTCTGGGTGTCGCTCAAATCTCCTGGTTGCATTAATTAAATTTAATTAAAATGTGTCAACCGAGCTTGTCATAACAAATTCGTCTCACATTTGAATTACATCCTCCCCCTAAGCTCCCTGGATGTCCTTCCCCCTCCTCTTCCTTAGCTGCAAAAACAACAAAATGGCTCATTAAAAACTTTTATGCTGATGAAATGGCGAAAAGGCTGTAAAAACCTGGCCAAAGAAGTGCGGCGAAGCAAAACAAAAGCACACACACGTTCGCAGGCTTAGTTAATTAGGGGCATAATAATGCAGATACACACTCGCTTTCACCGCCAGGTAATTGAAGCCGTACAGGTATCCTCACACATTGGCCTAATAAGTGACTTTTCGTTGGGGATCCCAGCCCCATCCTGGGCCTCGACTTTCGCATTATTTCATCAACTGTTGCTTCTTATTTTTCTTACCAACCTGTCGGTTAAATAGGTATTTGCCTTGAAGAGACCTGACACTTTTATTGGGTATAAGGCTTATGGTATAAGGTTGACATAACTAGGCATCATCAAGAGATGGCACTTTACATGGATACAAGGATAATAATCAATAGAAAGAAGGGAAATCTATAGAAAGCAGCCTTATCTTAATAATAAATGATTAATTGAAATTCCATCTCTAAAGGTTTAAAACAAAATTCAAGGACTTTGTTAAATGTTTGTACTAAGAAAAAATTTTAATTAAACAGATATCATAAATTTAAGAACATATTTATTTTTAGAGATGCAAATTATTTTTAAGCCAATTGTCTTTCATAAAGAGGTAACTTGAGATGACACTTTCTTGAAGGTTATATATACGAGTTCATAGCTATTAGAGACTTTTCCGGCTCTTTCCTGTAACTCGTGTCCTTTATCCTTTTGGCTCGTAAACCTCATTGATGCTTATAGCCATCCGAGATCTCAGCGAGATCCTGGCTCTCGCACAAACACACCCGCGGGTGTCGTTAATTGAAATTATTATACTTGCCTGTGGTATCATAAATGCGACTCGTTAAATTTGTATGTATGACACTCGAACGCACAGCCCTACATGTGCATGCATAATGCGTAAGTGGGTGTGTATGTGTATGGGCTATATATCCCAGATATATGGCATGCAGCATCATATCCTGCTCATTTCGCTCGTCCCCGATGTCGAGTCTATGGAGTGTCTCTTATTTGCATGGCGACATCGTCATCGCTTCAGCGGCAAAATGGAAATTTGTTGCCGCATTGCTCTTGGCATAGCCACGCCCACACTACCCTCCGCCCATCCCCGGCACCTGTGGCCCCCTTCTGGGCACACCCATGTGTGCCGCTGTTGCTGCTGTTTTAATGTCTCAAGTGTTTTATTTGCGCGTGTTACCTACTTTGATTTTATTTGCCCGCCCGCCGTCCGCTCTCCAGCAACAGTCCCTACCAAAAATTACCACCCGGTGGTGGCATTGGTGGCATTGGTAGCAGAGGGATTCGTTTTGTTGGCAGGGCATACCACTTGTGTATACCTCACTTGCTTTTATGTTTACTTCATGCACAAATTGTCGCGGAAATCTGACGTCAAGTGTATTAAACGCCATGCGCTGCTTTTGATTTATGGACCCAGTTGCTGCCACTGCCACTTTGGGGCAAGGGCAAGGGGGATGTGGCAAGGGGCAGGGGTAATAAAGGGAGTTACCGCGGCACTGGCCGTCAATTCCAATAGCGAAATGAAATTGTTGCTAATTTATGAGCAAGTAAGCCATACCCAGTCGCGGTCCAAAAATTCTTTGGATGCTTAATGAGCTGCGACAGTTGCGACGATTTAAAATACCGCTCTCGACTTGAAATGGCAAAGGGATTATAGAAGTTGGCAGGCGATAAATTTTCGATCAATGGTCGACTAATTTGAAATTACTGGAGTAGGAGGTTAATGGTCAGTAAAGTGGATTAACAGGATTTAGTTATGGTTGTTACACTAACCACTTAGATGTGGAAGATAACTCATAAATTACAAGAACGGCTTGAGGTACTTATTGAATTTATCTAGTATCTTCGCTGATATGGTCCACATTCATCAACATCTAAGTATCTTATGCCGGCCATTTAAAATCAATTAACATGACAATTTGGGCGAACACACCCCGAACACGAGAGACGATAATTACGCACCTCGCCAAACGACCCTTGGAAGAATCTTGTAGATTGAAATCTGGAGTGCACTCCATAGATGAAAGTGAAGCAATTACTTAGGGCTTCGATGCTAATGGCACTGTAATTATGTGTCAATTATAAAGAAATCAATCAAGTGGCAGAGAATCAAGTATATCTCCTGAGATATATGAATTTAAGATGTTTGTTTTTGGAAAAGTATTACCTCCTCAAAACCAACTAGATGGCTTCTTTTTAATCCAGGGTTTCACTTGAGATTTATCTGCCTGAAATCACTCAACATCTAGAGAATTAATTGACGATCCTGCCACTTTGTCTTCCTTGTCTGCATATCAAGTTGCTGTCGGTGGAGCTCCAAGCTTTCGAATGCCATGGACGGCTGCCAAGATGCTATCGCCGAGATAACTGGTCGGACCCCAAGTCCGGGTCCAGACTCGGGGTCTGAGTCTAGGTCTGGGCCACTGTCATCTCGGGCCATCGCCAGCCAGGTGGGCTCAAGATCGATGCCAAGTCAGGAAGCCAAAGCGCAAGCCAGCAGCGGAAGTCACTTGGGAGTTGGATGCTCCCGAGCATCTCCAAGCTATCGGAGGAGACCTGATCATTATGCAAGACCTGCCAAGAAAAGCCTCGTGTTGTTGTCTTCTCTCACTGATTACGTAATCGCACCACAGAACCGGCAGCGGACTGTTGTAGACCGTTTTAATTGCCACAAATTAAACTATCATTAAAATATGTAGAAATCACGCTAAAAGTTATCCCTCCTGTCGTCCCCGCCATATCAATTTCATATTACATATTACATCACAGCTCAGTGTGGCTCAGCGAGGGCAGGGGCGGGGTGGAGAATTTCATATAGGAAAATTGATTAAAAGCCATTAACATGTTCTTTATCACTCAACACAGTTGCCCAGGGAGATTGAAATGAAAATGGGGTGTGCTCCTCTGTGCCAAGTGGTCTTGTATTGGGTGTAGGCAGAAGCTGTGGCCGGTATCTTGTGGCAGGCTATCGGCATGGCTGTCAGCCATGGCAGAGCCCCTGCTTTAGCCTCTGGTTAAATGACAGCTTTGGGCCTCAATAGCCAATTGGGTAACCATAAGGAGGAGTCGTCCAGCTGGGTGCTTAAATTTTATAGCCATGCGTTGATGAATGATTTCCACCCAACAGGATGTTGACTTTTTAAAGATAGTCTAGTGAGAGCATATGATATTTATAAAGAAACATCTATAGAATATAATTCCATTTTTATCTGGAAATAAAGTTTTCCAATCAAAAACCCATCTTGACCATACAATTTTCCCCAATAACCTTGTCCCTATTATGCGATTCATCAATTTTATTGCTTCCTACCGTTTTCCCCACAAAACTATTGCAATTCCGATTCGGCAATTTCCATTTCGGACCGCAACTAATTTCAACTTTATTATTCGAGCTCGATTCGGGCAATGGTCAAAAGGAGTCAAAGGCAATAAATCACTCATACGACAAGTGTGCCGGCGACAAAAAGTGAACTCCAAGCCAGAGTGGAAGGAAAGGCGGATGGGAAAGGGAAATGTCGCACAAGCGTTGTTGTACAAATTTTTATGGCTCGCTAGCTATGCGAAGGTCTTGACTTTCTCCCAACCGGTGGATCGGGGTTTCTTTTACTTTTATTTACTTTATTTTACTTTTAGCCAATTTCTCGCTTATTTACGCAGTTGACGTGTGCAACACGTGCGCTGACAAATCATCAATGGATTGGAATCATCAATGGATATAGAGAGGCATAAGGTATAGCTGTTCACCCTTTTCCAGGGAGATAATTCAACACCTGAAACGAGAGCCAGGTTGAAATAATTTATTGACATATTTGCCTGCCACACACTCGGCTACTTGGCTTTGATTTCGCCCCCTCCTCAGTCCCACAATTTCATGCCCAGGCGAGCGGAAGCACCACCCTGTATGTTGGCGTTCAATCACCCCAGCACTGGGAGAAATACTAGGACATAAATACATAGAAATTTTCAATAGATGTAGAGTCTCTAATATAATATTTTTTTCACAGTGTGAAAGGGAAAAACTATATTATCTAAAAGGCATTGTCCTTATTTCCGATTTGTTTATATCGCTGCCTTAACACTTCGCTGCTCTTACATGAATGTGGATGCTTTTGTTTCTTGTATTACACTCATTAGGACCAATTATGGCTAATGTCTCAATTAAGCGGCAGTTATGAAAATTATTGACTCCAGTGCACTCGGTCCAGGCCAGGCCAGCCGGCTCACGGCGTTAACCTTTCCAGCTTCATGGCTTATTTGCCAAGGCAATTGCGGCTAATGGGTTAAGTGCAACTTTCCGCCGCAGCCTTAGTCCCAGCTGATTAGTGATTAGATGGTGTTGCCCCCAAGGTGTTGCAGTGGTGTTGATGGTCACTAACTGGACGACTTGGCTTGGATATCATTTACCAGAAAAATCTAAAAATAAAAGCCATGGCGTGGCAGTTGATGGAAATTTAATGGCACTTGAGAGCCGGGCGTGATTCAGCCGTAAGGCGATATTGTCCCAGGAAATTGGTCTTGAAATTTTCCCTAACTTATAATTTAAAAAAGGAAACAAGAGAAGCTCATCATCTCATATGAATTCGTTTCTAAGCTACTTCCAATAAAGCATTCCTCTTGTCCTCCTGATTTCAATTCA